TGCCTGCCACTGTGACTGTGGCGGGTTTGGTTGCAGATCTACCACCGGTGATTCCCACAGGGACGACCGCAGCAGGGGCCGTTCTCCTCAGCGCAGACCGCAGGATGGTTTTGGTGCCAGGGAATGGTCTCCACGTGAGCGGGGAACCCGAGACACCTCTGCGGACTTCTCACCGCGACGACCGGGCAGCGATGTCCCGCAAGGACCACACAGCCCTGGGGAACGTCAGCCAGGGCGTGGAGTGAGGTTTTTGTCTCCCTCTCGGCGGTCACCATCTCCATCCTCACACGGACGGCTGCAGGGAAACTTCCAGTGACTGGCGTCGAGACCCAGATGCCGGTTTCACCACTACAGGGTCAAATGGACTATTCTGCTGGGAAAGCGCCTGCTCGTGCATTGGACTCTTGTTCTGTGGGTGAGTCTAAGCCCACAGCCTATGTTAGAGGACTTGTTGAGGGTGTTGATGTTACTGTTTTGATTGACTCTGGGTCCAATGTTTCACTTATTTCTGAGGACTTCAGAATGTCCACGTCTGCCTTACGTAAACGTGTGCTAAATACCCAGTACACTTTTTCACGCACAGTAAATGGTCAATTGTTGGACACTCTGGGTACTGTGACTCTTCCCATACAGTTGGGGGGCAAACATTGGGAGCAGGCTGTGCATGTAGTGCGAGGGGCAACACAAGCTATTCTGCTGGGGTTTGATTTCATGTTGCAGGCTCGAGCTGTTATGGATGTTGGTCGTGGTCTGCTTCACCTGGGGGATGTTGATATTCCTCTCATGCATGCCACAGATTTCATACCAGAATGTTGTTACATCTCTATGTCTGTTGATGCTATTATTTCCCCTTTCAGTGAAATGATTGTCCCAGTTAATGTGAATATTCCCCGTACTGCTGGTCTGCCCATTGACTCTTTCTTAGGCTACCTGGAGCCTGAGGTGCGTGATAACGTGGGACTTGTGATTGCACGTACAGTTGCACCGGTGAAGAATGGATGCACTGTGGCAAGGCTGCTCAACCCGACAGAGAAGGAGTTAAAGCTGCACACCGGTTCCCATTTAGGTGTGTTGCACCATGTTAAGGACTGTGATCTACTCACCCCCGCTGAGGTTTTCCCCTCTCAGCAGGGGGCTACCCCTCTGCCGGATGTGGCTGGTTTCCCGTTGTCTGCTGAACAGAGACTGCAGCTGCAGGCCTTGATGGGGAAACACCAAGGGGTGTTCGGCTCTGGGAAGGGCAGAACAGGAAACACCGGTCTGATCAAACACCGCATACAGACAGGTGATCATTCCCCGGTCAAGCGTCGGGCCTACCGTACTTCGCCAGAAAAACGGAAGGAGATAGGCAGACAGGTTCAGCGCCTGTTGGAGGATGACATAATTGAAGAGAGTTGTAGCCCGTGGTCCGCCCCAGTGGTCCGCCCCAGTGGTCCTCGTCAGGAAAAAGAACAACACATGGCGATTCTGCGTGGATTACAGGGGACTCAACTCTGTGACAATAAAGGATTCTCATCCACTGCCACGGGTGGATGACACATTGGACGCATTGGCGGGGGCCTCCTGGTTCAGCACCTTGGACTTTTCTGACGGTTACTGGCAGGTGGAAATGGCTGAGGAGGACCGCGAAAAGACAGCATTCACCACTGGCCAGGGCCTATACCAGTTCAAATCCATGCCTATGGGTCTAACCAATGCACCCGCTACCTTCCAGAGGGTTATGGAGCTGGTGTTAAGGGGGCTGCCATGGCACATCTGCATGGTGTATCTTGACGATATACTAATTTACAGTAGTTCGTTTGAGGCCCACATGTCTGCTTTGGAGGAGGTCTTCATTCGGATTGGGGCAGCTGGGCTTAGATTGAACGCCAGGAAGTGCCATCTTGCCCGTGATCATGTGGTATTCCTTGGTCACGTCGTCTCCGCCGGGGGGCTTCGTCCTGACCCCCGTAACACAGATAAGGTGAAGACTTGGCCAGTTCCACGTTCCGCTACAGAGGTGCGTGCTTTTCTGGGTCTCTGCTCTTATTATAGGAGGTTTGTGAGGAGTTTTGCCCAGCGTGCTGCCCCCCTCAACCGTCTGACAGGGAAGGATGTCCCTTTTCAGTGGACGGCGGATTGCCAGGGGGCATTTGAGTTTTTGCGGGATGGTCTTTGTGCCGAACCTATCATGTGTCACCCGGACTTCACCAAGAGTTTCGTGCTGGGTACAGATGCTTCGCAGATTGCTGTGGGGGCTGTGCTGTCACAAGAAGTGGATGGCCTGGAGAGAGTGGTGGCCTACGCTAGTCGCTCCCTCACAGCAGCTGAACGGCGTTGGTCCACCTACGACAGGGAGCTGTGGGCGATAGTGTGGGCAGTGCGTAATTTCAGGCATTACTTGGGTCTTCTCCCCTTCACAATTATCACAGATCATCAACCTTTGTTGGGTCTGCGACGACTTCAGGTTGACAATGACAGGACGGGGCGTCGTAGCCGTTGGGCTCTGGAGCTGGACCCATACGACTGGATGATTGTGCACAAGAGTGGGGCCAAACACACAAATGCAGATGCCCTTTCACGCAGGCCTGACACCACTGAAGCTTTGGAGAACTCAGGCAGTCTCGATGCCACATCCGCTCCCTTGAGTACAATTCTCCCTGGCGCTGGGGACAGTGGTCCTAGTGATGTGTGTGCTGTGGGCACTCCTGCCACGGCCCAAGCCCAGGGACCGATTTCAGGACCTCCTTCTCCTGACTCAGGGTCTTCAGTGGACCAGACCCTAATCTTCACTCTGTCACATGATGGCTCCGGTATTAGGGAGCTCCAGCAAAAGGATGCAGACATCGGACAAGTTTTGGCCTGGCTGGAGCATGGCCAACGGCCCCCTAGATGGAGGTTAAAAGATGCTAGTCGGGGTGTGAAGAGACTTTGGCATGAGTTTCCCCGGCTGACTTTTGTGGAGGGACTTTTATGTAGAGTTGTTTGGCTGTCTGAGGCAGGGCAGTCTACTCAGGTTGTTGTTCCTGCTGTCTTAGTTCCAGAGGTCCTGGGACACTTGCATGGTGCTCCACTGACTGCTCACCTGGCGTATGATCGCGTTTTGGCACGCGCAAGAAGTGTGTGCTATTGGGCCTCCATGCACAGTGACATTCGTTCGTGGTGTGACCAATGTTATGCCTGTCAGAGAAGGAAGTCCCCGGTGCCTAAACACCATGCCCCCATGAGAACTTCACATGCAGTTAGACCTTTCCAGCGGGTGGCGGCTGACATACTGGAGTTGCCGGTCACATCAAAAGGCAACCGGTATGTGTTGGTTGTTGAGGACTATTTCACAAAATTTGTAAATCTGTATGCCATCCCCGATCAAAAAGCCCAGACGGTCGCGGAGTGTCTCTTCCAGAACTACATCTTGGAGCATGGGGTAATGGAAACTCTGCACACTGATATGGGCAGACAGTTCGAATCAGATGTTGTGAGGCATTTGTGCGGCGTGTTAGGTGTGAAGAAGACGCACACCACGCCTTACAATCCGAAGTCTGATGGCATGGTAGAGAGGTTTAATAGGACACTTATCGATCAGTTGGCGAAATCTCTTCTATCATGTGAGGGGGAGTGGGACTCTTTTCTGTCACAGGTCGCATTTGCGTACAATACCAGTGTACATTCCAGCACAGGCTTCACGCCGTATTTTCTCACGCATGGCAGGGAGGCCAGGACTCCTGTGGATGTGTTACTGGGTCCAAAGCGGGATGATCTGGTGCAGGGTCCCCGGGAAGACTTTGCTGGTTCCCTTCTCAGACGCTTGGACACGGCGTTTGATCAGACAAGGGATAACAATTTTGCTGCAAGCAGCAAACAGAAGTCGTACTATGACGCCAGAGTGAGGCACGACCCGTATGAAGTCGGGGATTTGGTGTGGTTAAATGATCCCACTGAGAGCCGCCGTAAACTGGCTCCCCACTGGAAGGGGCCTTATCTGGTGCAGAGGCGAATGGATAGGGGTGATGAAGTGGGGGTCACGTACCAACTAAGTAGCCCGTTTGGGGATGAAGCCTCTCTCCAAACTGTCCATTACGACAGACTACGGCGATACAACCTGCCGGTAGCCTTTCCCTTGGAGGGACCATCAAGGTCTCTCTTACACCTTTCTCAGCCTCTTCCGTTGCAAGATGCAGTCTCCCCACAGAGCTCTGGACGCTTGAGGTTTTCCGATGGGGAAAGTGGCTGTGATCTTGGGCCGGGTTCTGGGGCTGGTGATTCCCATGAGCTCGAACAAGCCGCACCGACGGTGTCCCGGGCTGGGAGGTTAGCGCGGCCTCCTGTCCGATTTTTGGACTTTGTTATGGGCTGAATGACTGGTGGTTACGTGCTTGTGTGATTATTTTCTCCTGTGTATTCTATGCTGCATAATTGGTTTTTTTCATGTTTCGAGTGTGCAGGACAGGGGAATAAGTTATGTCATACCTAGTTTGATGTTTTATTTGGGCTGTGGATGTGTTTTGTTTGTCATTGTTTTTATTCAAAGATTTTTTTTTCGAATGTACGTCATGCCTGCATGTATTATTCTGCAGGGTGGTGTGTGGTTTGTTATGTTTTTGGGGTTTTTCGTGGTTGTATTGTTTTTTTATGTTTTGTTGTGTTTTCACCATGTGTGTGGAAATGGGGACATTTCTTTCAGTAAGGGGGGACGCATGTAAGCATTGGGTTGAGAGGTCATGTGTTGTGAGCATGCGCAGTCGGGGCTAGAGTGGTGTGTGACTCGACGTTAATAAACGGAGGCATCTGTGACGCTCCAAAAAGTACTAAGTTCCTGAGTTCTTGTTACACAGAAGTATTCTTGAAGCCTTAACACCTCGGACGTTACACTATCTTATCTAATCAGTGCTCTTAATTTGATGGTACTATGTTTTTTTTTCATGAGAAATAAATAAATAATTAAAACGTGGCGTGACAGGACAGTATGCTACCAACACAACGTAAAAATAAATCGCTGAGCGGAACCAATGTTTGAAAGCAGCTCCCCGCCGGAGCACTTTAGATGTTGCAAGAGAGAGATGTAAAGATGGCGGCGGCCTTGGTACAAATGACATGTTTGTACCGGGGGATTTTAGCGGTCAGGGTCCCCGGCATCAGGCCGCTGATCCCCGGGCTGGTCCCGCTGCAGTACCGGGCCTTCTCGGTCCGGAAGGAGCCGCAGCTGGAGGAGAACCCGTTCTTCGACAAGTACCAGGACAAGATCCAGAAGCTTCGCAGGTCAGCGGCTAGCGGCAGCACAGCACCATGTCACCCATAGAAAACTGTCATTTTACAAGTTGTTGGATACTCGACGAGTTTAAATGCAATATAAGCCAATGTTAAAGACTTAATAGAAAGTATGATAGACTAATTATGTATTCGGGGCAAATTTAAACCGGCAGTGTGTTTGTGTTTGACCAGAAGTCTACGGTGATGTTGAGAGGACAAATGGGCTGGTTAGCAATCTTAGGGTAAAATATAAGGAATTGAAATAAACAAACCTTTCTTGGAACGTCAATTGTATGCCGAACATCTTACTAGACTATTTATATGAATAAGAGTATTGGAGAATGGATGTGTAACTTGTAGTAAATTAATACAAATAAAAAATGTATTAGGTTTTTGAAGGTGATTTTATTTATTATCAAACAAAAATCAAGTGATCACATTCATGCTTTTTCTACCCTTGTGGTTTGTCCCTTTTGACTAGAATTACAGTACCATGGTTTTAAAAAATAAATGTCAATGCATTTAAACAGCCAATAACTTGCATGTTAAAAACAAAGTCAGTCACCACTGCATTAATATGTAACAATAACATTTGGGCATTTCACATTTTTACTAAAAATGAAAACATCAACAGCAAACACAACTTGTAATTAATAAATCAAAACAGGCCAAACTATTCATCCGTTGCCTTATCGAGCTGGAACCTCTGAGTTAGATGAGGTATGTAATGGGACTGTGGAGTCGGTTGACAAAGCTGTACATTATTTCTGCGTTTCATAAATTAAATGTATTCCTTTTGAAATTTTTTATTTTTACTGATTTAATGTCGGTCTTGTTTTCAGCACCAAACCTCAGGAGTACAAAGCCAGAGTGGAGACGCGTCATGATGCCAAGAAGGAAGTGCTGGGACACTCAAAGCAGACAGAGTTCATCAAGCTTATGGAGCAGGAGGTATAAACTGCATGAAAATATACTGGAAGTTTTGAAATAGCATTACAATTGAATTCAGAAATATAAACACATTATTTTTCTCTGCATTATCTGGTTAATTTGTAATGGCGTGCGTTGAAATGTCTTCATAAATTGGACAAAACGTAACTCCTGTGCACCCTTTTACATAAGGGAGAGGAATTATAGAATATGTGTGTTTGGTTTCATGTATGTTCTGTCTGTTGCAGTTGGAGAAAAAGGACAAGATTGCTGCTGGCGAAGGAGAGTCAGGAGGTTTCACAAAGAACAAGGTGGGGAACATGCTGGAATTAAAATATATTTTCTTTGAAAATAGTTGTACTTCCTACTGTTGTTACCTACAACATACCATCAAAGTTAATATGAAAATCTGGTAAAATATTCAGTGACAGTAATTAGTTAATGCTGTGGGTATAAAGGAATAATGTAAGATATGATGATTTGACTGTGTACAAATAAAGTGTAACGTGTTGTTCTGCAGACGCTGGACTCTATCCTAGACCTGGAGAAGATCCGGGACATGACGGGGGGGGAGGTCTCAGAGGTGAGTCGGCCTCGCTCCAGTTTACCACAGAACGTCCCTCTGTTTCCTGTGACGGTTTGAACTGCGTGTTCTTTGTTTGATCTTTTGTGTTCTTCTCTCAGCTCTGGATGAATTATTACGCCGCCAAGGACACAATCAGCGCTGTGATCCCGGTGAGTAGAACACAGTGAACATGCTGATGCTTCAGAGTCTCCCGACTTTTCATTTGATGTCCTTTACATCTTTTATAAGTATTTGTTTCAATGCTTGAAAGGAAGGTTTCTTCACTTTTTAACAATAACTTAGTTGATTTGAGTTTAACTTGTGTTCCCCTTATTGATTTTTCCCTTGGATTTATTCGTTTTTTATGATTTAAAGTGGACCTATCATGCTATATTTAAATGATATATTGTAGGGCCATACCGATATAAGGTATATTTATATGTTTCTGTTTTCAAAATACCAAACAGATCATGCATTTTAGCCATGCCTCATTTCGCTCTATTTGCTGTTCTCCAGCCCTGTTTTTGCAGGGGGCTGATTCTGTGAGCTGCAGCTGACCACGCCCCCCTGCAGGAGAGGGGAGCGTGCTCTGATCAAGTCAGAAGAGGGGGAGAAAAATAGATCTCCGTCCTCCGTGTTTTATTATATTATTATATAGAGTCGTTATTCATTTGTTTTAAAGCTCAATAAATACACTTAAAGGCACTTTTCTAATTTTGTCCGGAAGATTTAAACTTTAACGGACATCTTGACCGGCGAAAGAAAACCTAACTGAAACTCTGCCGCACGGTCCCCTCGTTCCTTGGAAGAGGCGGAGAGGTGGGTGTTTGTCATCTGCTGGTGGACTAAACGGAGAGAATTACAGTGCTTGCCTCGACGGGGAGGGATTGCATACAGCAGCAGGAGCAAACGCTTGCCTCGGGGAGGGAGGAAAAAAGCCACAGTGGAGAATAAACAGAAGGGTAACCATGGCAACCATGCGTGGGAAGTCTTCTTCGCTGCTTTTGTGGCAGACTACAGCGCCACTTACAGGCCTGGCATATGTACTACAGCGTCTCCAGCGCTTTCGAGCGGCAATGGCCGGCCGTGGCCCAACCCCACATTCCCCTGATAGGTGGAGAGTTGGCCCAATAGCCGTAGCGCCACTTTCCTGACATCAGTAAAGTGTTCAAATCTGGATCAGTTTTTATCAGATCCGTTGCAGCCCCTTTTTTAGAGATTTGGGTATGGAGGAAAATAGAGAGGGTTGTGTTTTCTGATACTTGGTGAGTTCCCTGGAACACCGGGGACACATATTCATGTATAAAAGACGTGCATTTTGCATGATAGGTCCCCTTTAAGATACATTTTACCAATTTATTTAATTTATTTATCATTTAGATATTTTTTTTTGTTCTTTAAATGTTTTTCTTTTAATATTCCACACATTTTGATATAATGACCTAATATTCTGTCTTTTTTTACTTGCAGACGCAGTTGTACGATTTGATTTCAAGCAGATCAAATGCTTCCCCTATGGTAAGATCACTGCTGCTTCCACTGAACATGCTGCTGGAAAGATGCAGATTCAGAAACAGCATGACATTCTTCTGCTATACTTGACACTTATGAAACTGTGCTTCACATTCCTCCTCTTTTATTTCTTTATCCCCTCTCTCCCTGTGGTCTCCCTCTCCTCAGTTCCTGTACGCTCTGCCTCAGAGGGAGGGATACGAGTTCTTCTTGGGTCAGTGGTCCGGACACGAGCTCCACTTCACCTCCCTCATCAACGTCCAGGTAATCCTCTCACAAGACCCCTTCACATGCTGCTGCAGACATTGAGTTCATTTAGGTTTGTAAGTAGGCATGTCTGTTTATATATTTTAAATAGGAAAAACAGTAGAAATCAGAAACTGATAAAAAAAAAAAGTTCAAACTCAGCTCTTCAAAGTATTTATATTTTATTTAAGTACAAATATTTTTAAAAGGTCTAGTTGAGTTCTATAAAGTACTGTAGTTGCATATATTACAAGGGAAAATTAGGTCAAATGCTCTATCGATTACGAAAAATTTGGGAAAAGTCCATATTATACCAGAGCTACTTTATGGTTTGCCATTCCAAATAAAGTTGGATTTGTCTTCTTCGTCTCACTCTGAAGACTGTAAGCTTACATTTTCTTTATGTGTGCAGACGATGGGTGAGCATGCTCCCAGTCAGCTGATCCTCTACCACTACCCCGACCTGAAGGAGGAGAAGGGCGTGGTCCTCATGACCGCCGAGATCGACCCCAAGTTCATAGTAAGTCCTCCACCTGCTGAGGTTTACCTGTATGCACTCACTGCTGCAGGCTACACCCTTATCAATGCAGCTCACTGGTGCTTTTACAGGGTTTTCATGACTGTTTACAGATAATGTACACTATACTGTGTATGGTCACATGATCATGCCCACATACTGTCCTGGCTCTTTTGTGAAGGCTCTTTTAGTAGTATATTTATGCTTATGATTTTAGAATAAATTGTTTAACTAGAAGGGCAGTTTAACAGCGCTGACATCTGCCAAAGCTGTTTTCATAAGTGAAAAATAATATATTCATCTGCCCTCTTTTTATTTGGATCTGCTCCAAAATTAAAAAGGTTCTTCCTACACCCTTCCACTAAGTTTCCTGACGATCATGCCTTTTTATTTTATAATCAGACAAACAAACCATTCCACACTTAGGAAAAATCACTGTCAGCTGTAATGTCCAGGTGTCCACTCTATATACTGTAAAATACTTTTAAATGGTCTTTTAGTCTTTATTATTTACCTACTTTTATATTGTTCTATAGAACAATATAAAAGTACAGACCTATAAAATATATATATTTTATAGGTCTGAAAGGGTTTCAACTTATATTATTTATTTAACAGTTTATTTAATAGCAACATTTCCTTTTAAGTTGGTCCTTTTAATATTTGTATCGTTTAACCTTTATTAGAATTCTGAAGTTTTTATTACTATCTTTTAATTTTTGTTGTGCATATGTTTACTTTATTTTATAGGGTTTTGTATTGTTTTACCTCAATGTGTCTCTTAACCTGTTAAAATGTTATATGCTGTTGCTAAGCTGCATGTATCTGAATAGGTCTTAACATCTGATCCAAGGGGAATTTGTTGTTGTTTATTTGTTACTTGTGATGTATGAAAAGTGCTATATAAATAAAGCGTTATTATAGAGACACTATATTTATTAAATAATATATTGGCTACATGTTAAACTGTCTGTTCCTTCTCCTCCACAGACCGTCCACCAGGCTCAGTGCTTGGCCAATCAGGTGCAGCTGTTCTACGGCACGCATAGGCAGGAGACGTTCCGATTGGTGGAGGACTTTAACCACCACCCTGCAGACTTCAAACACATGTTGTTGATCGCAGAGCTGGAGCAGAGCGGCCTGGGGTCAGCGGGGGCAACCATGGGGAGACAAGAGATGGACTGAAGACCCTCTCTTGCAGTCGGACCTCCGGGAACCATTGGTGTTCCTTTTTAAATCAAAGAGATATGTGCTTTTTCTTAAAACAACTAAAAGAAGCTTCACATGAACTCTGTTGGAGATTTTATCATTTCATCTGCCCGACATCTCTTCATTGTGCATCCATGTGCAAGTAACCACAGGAGAATAATGTGGTATTGGTCAGTTTTATGATAAATAAATGCCTATAAAATACTTTATAGCCCAGTAGTGATCCCTGGAAACCCACTTGACGTTTAATAAATCACCTTCAAAAACCCAAATCTCCAATGTGATGATTTTAGTGATTACTATCGATATGTGCAAATGTCAACAAATATTTGATTTAACATCTATTGTAAATCTGACAGTCACTATAGATGTATTATGTGAACGCGTTGTCTCTGGTGTCAGTGGGGCACGGGTGATAGAGATTTGTCAACTGTCACTGAATCTTCCAGATTAAGATAACCATCCTTGTAGTGGATCATTTCAGTAATTGAATCGCTGTGATCAGGGAATACAACTCGTACAACCTATGCCATGTCTCTAAACCTGAGTGTGTAATTGATGCAATTACTGTTGGTTGTAAAAGTTGTTTCTCTTCAATCCTCCACATAAGAGTAGAGTGTGATTCAGCCATCTGTAGTGACTCATGTTAGTCTGCCAGGCCTGGATGTGCCATAAATATGGCGCGTTCACACCGGAGTACTTTTCCCACAATAGTAAATCAGAACTACGATATATTTGCTTTCACACCAAAAAGCCCCCGGAACTAAATAGAGTGGCGAAGTCCCTCCCCTTCCGGTGGACCTTATTTCGGAAAAATTATGTATTGAAGTCAATGGAGAGAGAAAGATTATCTTTTGATCCCGTTTGAATTGTGCCACGAATTACACATGATGTTTGTCAATTTAAAAGATAATTTTGCAAGTCAAAAAGTAACACATTTGTTTGTGTGAAACGCTCAATGAACTACATCTCTAGTCTCACAGAACAACACACGTCACCAAGATGGCCGTCACTACTGTCTTGTCAACAAAACGATTGACTACCCTCACTATCACCACAATGAAACACGTCCTGAAGAATGTCATGCAAAGCTGCCTGCCTGCCTTCCTTTGATTCTCTCTGAACTGCCTGGTCTTTTTAATGTTTAATGTCAACCATTTGTGCAGATAGCATGAAGTAGTGAAGATCGCCGATGCTAGCGTTAGCATTTCTCCCCCGGGCTTAAATTGTGTATTATAGAATGATCACACCGGTGACAGTACTATTCAAAGGGTTCACGAAATATGACTACTACTCTTACTGTTTAACATTTTGGGTTACTTAATGTTACTTCATGTTAAGGCTAATAAAAATGACAAGGCTGTAATGCTAACTAACGTGCTAGCTACTAGCTAGCTTGATCCAGACACTCCTGGTCCTTTCATCAGACGGGAAGCGAAAGAACGAGCAAGACCCATTGCTGGTATGATAACAACCTGGTACTAAGCACACAGGCATCTTGTTAAAGTTATCTTATCTTAGCCAGCGCCATATAGATAGATTATATCTATATGGCGCTGATCTTAGCTATCTCTTAGTGGAGGAAAACAATTGTGACATCACTTACGCGGGTATGGACCAGGCGTCAATTAAACGCCTGCAGCTAGTCCAGCTAGTCCAGCTGCACGTCTACTCACTGGCCACAAAAAACGTGACCACATCACCCCAATTCTGGCCTCACTGCACTGGCTTCCAATTCGGTTCCGAATTTATTTTAAACTCCTTTTATTTGTTTTTAAAGCATTAAATGGGCTGGCTCCGGCCTATATAGCTGAACTCCTCCAGCGCTACACCCCAACAAGAGCTTTAAGGTCTGCTGACCAGCTGTTGCTGATAGTGCCCAAGACCAGGCTCAAAACCCGAGGGCACCGAGCCTTCACAGCAGCTGGCCCGAGGCTCTGGAACACTGCCCCTCCATGTGAGGTCGGCCCAGACCCTAGGGGTTTTTAAATCTACTCTTAAGACACACTTCTTCTCCCTGGCCTTTTAGTCAGAGCGGAGCACGACTCCTGACTTTAACCCTGTGTTTTCCTTTTAAATATCTGTTGTAATTTATTGTCTTTTATTGTGATTATAGAAATGTGTTTTTATGTGATTGTAGTTATTACATGTACAGCACTTTGGCCCGACCAAAAATCGCTTTTAAATGTGCTTTATAAATAAACCTTGATTTGATTTGATTTACGCGACTCTGGGATTTGTAGTCTTTCTAGTTGCGTATTTTTCATAGTCTTATATTTCAACAGTTTTACGACAAACTGTGACTTTTTTGACATGGAAATGATTTTTTAAGATTGATAAACATCATATGTGTAATTCATGGCACAATTCAAACGGGATCGAAAGATAAGTTTTCTCTCTCCATTGACTTCAATACATTACTTTTCCGAAATAAGGTCCCATGGGGCGGAAGTAGATGGGCGTGACTTCGCCACTCTATTATGGCGCGTTTCCACTACAGCGCGGAGCACGGTTTAAGAGGGCTGTGACGTCAGCGGCCCGTCTTTGGTTGCGTTTCCACTTGGCCTAGTACCGGCCGGCGGGTCCTAATTCACAGTTTTTCTGGCCTCATAAAATCGTGGGTCTAGGGCCAGAGACAACGAGGCTGAGTCGGGCTGAGTATGCTAAACTAGAGAGAGCATCGCTGGCAAGGGGGCTACAACTACAACAAGATGGACATATTTGACCGTGATTTAATTGTAATACACGTTTCAAAATGATGCCGAAGTAACAACATACTGATACCGGTTAGTAAAAATCATGAATTAATGCTTTGTCAAGTCTGCAGACAGACGCCAGGCGAAAAACCTTTTAAAATGCGTGTTTTCTAAATGGAGATTGGCTAAGCTAACGCAGTATATGCTCCGACCGTCCACACTCACAACAACGGCCTATACAGACATAAATAAAGCAGCGACTGTATTCGCCATGACACAGGCAGTCTGTGGTTTGTACTTGTTTAACTTTTGTCTAGTTTCTGAACATATATGAGGAGCTGTGAGCTCTGAGTGCTAACAGCTAACGGCTGTGTTGTTTTCTGGGGTTCTCATTGAAGATGACGTCACGGCTCCGCCTACACTGCGTTACTATAGATACTACCCCAGTTCCTAAACTGTAATGGAAATGCGCCATAAAGTGAGCCAGTCCTAACGAGGCCTAGCCATACCGAGCGAGGCAGAGCGAGGCCGTGTAGTGGAAATGCGCCATTAGTTCATCAGAACCATTTTTACCCCGCTTTTCAGTCCCTGCTAGAGAGCAGGGACTTTCGTGGGAGAAAAAGGTTCATATGTCTGATTGGCTGGGCGGAATGCAAACCACGCCCCGTAAAACTCCCAAGAACTTTTGTGAAGCCGCCATTTTATTTGCTCGCATTAAAAGCTCAGCGCAGCGCACCAACAAAGAGATTACTTTTGTGAAAGCAGCTATGGCAACACCAAATAAATCAGCGGAGCGGTGGAGTGATGATGTTGTGTCGGCGCTTCTGGAGATTTACTCCGAGGACGCGATCCAGAAGCTTCTACTAAAGGCAGTTTCCAATGCGAAAATGTACGACTGTATTTCGGTAAAGTTAGCGGCCATGGGAATCGTCCACAGTGCTAAGTCATGCCGGGACAAAATAAAGAAACTGAAGCAGGACTACAAAAAATAAAAGACCACAACAACAAGAGTGGCAACGGTCGGAAGACCAGCAAGTGGTATGATCGATTGGATGCTCTGCTCGGCCACAGACCCTCATTCTCCGGCACAGCTTCGACGATCGATTCTGGCGCGATGGGGTGGGAGGCTGAAATGGCGGTTGAATTGCCCAACGACGACGACGAATTAGGTAAAATATACTACATGCACTGCACTGTTTTAATCTGCACAATACTGGTCACACATGTACTTTTATTTGCTCGGTAGATCGAGCTAGCCATGCTAGGCTGAATTGGCTAACAGCTAGCTAGCTATTCTCGGCCGCGATGAAAACGTTTTGACTTGTGAATACGTGTGCAATGTTCTGTAATTTGCTTCACTAACTCATGGCACTAATTAAAGGTAAAATATACTACATGCACTTTACTGTTTTAATCTGCACAATACTGGTCTCAGATGTACTTTTATTTGCTCGGTAGATCGAGTTAGCAATGCTAGGCTGAATTGGGTAACACTGTTAGCAGGCCGGAACCGAGCTAGTTAATAACATCTAGCTAGCTCGCTCGGCAAAGGTACATATAAACACACTGTAACTACTCTGGCCTTAAAAGAAGGTTACGCATCGAACTGATGTCCACTAATCACGTTTATTTCTTTCTTGGTACAATTATGAAACACCGTGAACATACATCGTTTACACTTTGCGCCCTTTTCACTCTCTCACAAACGTAAACATCCGGGGCTAGAAGTCACATGACTTCCGGTAAGAAAACTCTTAATCATTTTTTGACAAAATAAAACAAAGTTCAAGCACAAAACAATAAATAAGGGCACTTTGAGCGTCAGCTATTTGATCCTATCTTATCTTCTTCTTTACACCTGCATTTTGTACACTGTCCCTGCCTGCACCATGTCCAATGTTGTCTCTGTTGACAACCTACTAGTAAACACATTCCTAGTATGTTGTAAAACTACTTGGCGATTAAACTGATCTTGTATCTTGCTTATTTCTCCTCTTAGGAAAGCGGGCACGGGATGACAGCTTCCTTGACACCATCATGGTGATGGATGACCGGCGTGCCATGGTCAGAAAGGACAATGAGGACTGGCATGCCATGGCCAACAAGGAGATGCACGACGAACAGCTGCTGCATTCACACAAGGCCCAGGAATCGCAGGACCAGCTGCTCATGGTGATGGCGCGCCATGCTGACTTGGCGGCACGCCAGGTGGAGGTGGCGGCGCGCCAGGTGGAGCAACAAAATACCTTTCAGGCTGGGCTTCTGGGAGTGCTAAGCGAGCTGGTTAAATCCAACAGGCCTTCAATTAAAAAAAGAAAGAAAAACTTGTCGTCGTTGATAAACTATACAATGACTTGTTGGGAGGCGTGTGGCGCAGTGGTGGGGGCGTTAGTGTTCGGATCAGGGGAGCACAGGTTCAAACCCCACTGCAGTCAGCATGTCGTTGTGTCCCTGGGCAAGACACTTCACCCCAAATTGCCTACATCTGGGACAGTCAATTTTGTATTATTATATTATATATATGTATATATATATAATATGCCACTGTTATTAATACTGACACATAACTTTGCACTAAGGTGTGTCTGCTGCTGAGCCTATCCCTACATCTGGGACAGTCAATTTTGTATTATTATATATATATGCCACTTATTAATACTGACACATAACTTTGCACTAAGGTGTGTCTGCTGCTGAGCCTACCTATAGTTATTATATAATACTGTTATTATATTGTTTTGATACTACTGACGCTTATTGATCTGCTGCTGATAAATAAAAGAGAACAAACATGGCGATTAAACAGATCATGTATCTTGCTTATTTCTCCT